GAGTATATTATACAACTCACTTTAACATAAAAATAACTCTTTAATTATCCTTCCCCCACATAAAAAAATATGTACTTACAAAATAATGTACAAATAATATGGGGACAAAATAATATATGGACAAAATAATATAGGGGAAAATGACTTTAGTGAGTCACCAAGTCACCAATATGTACATACAAAATAATATTATAAATAATATAATATAATATAATATAATATATGAAACATATGTGTTTAACACGTGTTCTCTACGTGCAAAGTTTATCAACTTTACAGTTTACCATTCTTCCATCATAGTTATAACATTTCATCATAATGTCTCATCATAATTATAACATCTCATCATAATTATAACATACAATGAAACTAATTTCATACATGATTCATCCTAACCCTATCACGTCATTTGTCTTTTCAATTAGAAAGGATTACAGGGTCATTCACGCATAGGGACTATAAAATTGGTTTCAATTTGAACTTGAAAACATAATTAGGGTTTATTCCTTTATTTAATTTTGAGAACAATATAACATACATCAATACATGAATCATAGTAAGAACACTAACCTTGATCCATGAGAATCTATTCTTTTTAATCTTTTCATTCTCCAATCTCATTTTCCCAATCTATCTCTTTGTCTTTCTTTCTCTTCTCACGTTTTCTTGATGGTTTACCGTGAAAAAACCTTATGACCAGAGACAGAACCCTTATTCTATTTTATTAACCAACGTCCATCAAGTTGATTACAGTAAGTTAATATTTTATTTTATCTTTATTTTATTTTAACTTCACATAATAACCAATAGGTCCTCATATTTTATTAAATCACATTTGTACCCATTATTATATTTCACATGAGTCACATAATGAAATGAATTAATTAAATTAATTCTAACATTCTGTACACTGTAATTAGAGATTTGCATGTTTGATTTTCTTTGAATGAGTAGATACAAGTGTGGTGCAAATTATAAAATGTTATGTTAGCATAGCATCAGAATATTTACGTATCTCTATCTTTGTGTTTGAATTAAAAGATATATTTGAGGGAGTAAAAAAAAGAGAAAGAAAAGTGAAAGATGAGATTTTTAGATTAAGGAAAAAAAAGTGAAGGAAAATGATTTAAAAACATTGTAATTTATATGATTGATTTAACTTATTAAAAATAATTAAATAATAAGATAAATTAATAAATGAACAAAATATATTTAACATAAATTTAATAAAAATAAATATTATTAAAATTAAAAGATAACTTAATATAAAATAAGTATTTAATAAAATCTATAAAAATAAATTAATTTAAATATAAATTAAAAATATTTTCATATTTTATAGATTATTTGTATTTTATAATTGATTTTTATAATAATTAATAACTAATTAATTTAGATAATGTACAATTTCTTATTTCATGTGACTGGAAACCATATTTAAAAATTTAATAATTTTTAACAAAATTAATTATTAATATAATTGATAAACATTTTACCTTAATAATATAATTTTAAGAAAATAATAATATTTGGCTGGAGTTAACTAAAAAAATAAACTTTGTTTAATTCTCCCGTAAAAATATCAATTTTAGTATTTATTTATTTTTACTTTATATATGCAAATATTTGTAAATATACAATAATAATAATAATTAATGATGACTCTAAAAACTAATATATATATATATATATATATATTAAAAAATTTTTAAACCATAATATTTTATATTGATATAATTAATTGATGTTAATAGTATAAAAGGAGAAAAAAATAATAATTTAAAATTATAAGAAAGTATAATTTACTCTTAAAATTAATTATATCATAATATGCTATGATAATGTAATTGATCATAGGAGTTTCGTATGTATAATGTTATTTTACCGGGGTTCTTTTTAGGAAAAGAAAATTAGGAACATCTTAAAAAAGAAAGACAAGATAATGAATTGAACGAGGTTAATATGTTGCATGAGGAAAATATATATATATATATATATATATATATATATATATATATATATATATATATATATATATATATATATATATATATATTGTAGTTTGATATTAGCCTATAAGTAAGGGCGAAGTCATCAATTTTAGACGGGTTAATATATAAAAAATAATTATTATATAAAATAAATATATTATATAAAATATTTAATAAGATATTAAACATTATTAATTGAAAATAAATTTTATAAATTAGATTTTATTTTTTATTTATCATTTCTTTTCTATAATTTTTCTAAAATATCTTAAAATTTAAGCTGTATTTTTCTTATCACATTTCAATATTAAAATAAAGTATCTTAAAACATTAAAATAAGTAACTAATTAATTATAAATAAAAAATTATATTAATATTTTATATTTTTATATGATGCTACATCATGGTAATTTGTTATAATAAAAAAAATAATAAAAAATATATTTGTTTAATATTTTTTTACTTCAAATAAATTGTGCTGAGATATTTTTTTATTTTTTAACCGTTTGTCTCAGTCTTTAATGTGAACAGAATAAAAATCTAAAGAATAAAAATTACAATTTACTTACAAATTTTAGGTTATAAGGTAAAATAATGAAATAGAAAAAATAATAAAATTAAATGGATAATAAAGAAAAAAATAGAAATGTAAAAAAAAATAAAGTGAGTCTATATTTATATTATATTTCATATGTTTGGTTGACCTCATTTTTTACACTTAATGATCGAAAATGTCTTTTTACACTTGTATTTTTGTAAGAAAGTTTAAGTGAAGGATAAGTTTGGTTTTCTCCACAAGTTTTGGCAGAAACTATGAGAGAGAGAGGTAAGTCATCTAACTAAACTTTGTTCAAATATTTGGAGCTTTTCATTTCTACTAACAAGAACTTGAAAAAATTTTCTTCTTCCATGCCAAAGATGCACTTCCCTAAATTTAATTACATGTTATATTTCTCAAGATAACAAAGACTTATGATACATCGGGTAAATGTTGTTGACAAGTGTTTAACTTAACAATTATGTCCTAGGTATATATTTTCATGTTCCTCTTAATGGTTTCTTGAACACTTCATCAATCATTCGTTAACCGATGGAACCAACATTTTTCAGGCCAAAGAACATTATTTCGTAATAGTAATTAGTAGTATCAATTATATAAATGCAAATTATTCAATGTCTCATTAGTACATTCAAGTTTAATTATATCAAGAATAAGCATTTAGGAAACTCAACATCTTATGATCTACCACTCCGCCAACTAATCGATTTATATTAGGTAATAAGTATGCTTCCTTGGAATATGACTTTATTTAGATTTGTATAGTCAATAGGGATCTATCATCTACCTTTTATCTTTTTAACTATAATATTGTTGGATAAAATGTCGTACAATGGACTTATCGGATGAAAGCAACTTTAAGGAATTTACCTACTTGTTCTTAATTTTCTTTCTTCATTCTTTAGTCAATTTTCTCTTCTTAAGACAAGCCAAACCTCTTTGTATATAAAGAGCTTACGAAACATGACTTGTGGGTCTATGCCAAACATGTCAATTGTCATCCAAGCAAAAAGATCAACATTGCTATTGAGGATCTTTGTTATGAGATTTATGTTGTGGCTATTCAGAGAGGATCTCATCCTAATATTTTTACTCTTCCTTCCCTATTTAAAAAAAATAATAGTTTTTTTCTTCAAGGTTCCACCTAACATTCATCATTTACTCTTAGATCAAGGTCAACTCACAATTATGATATTGTTTCTTGTAAATTGTTTGACATTTGTCCTCATATTTATTGAGATACTTAAACTTGAAACATAACATTCCTTAGTCATCCACTGGTTGATATAAATTGTGATTATACTTCCTTGAGTGAATAAAAACCTTATTATAAAGTGGAAGATTGAGACTATTACACCTAAAGCATTTAAGGAAGACCTACCTAAGAGGATATTATAGGAAGTGATAGTGCCAATGATTAGGTAACAAATGTTGATTGTCCGATAGTTAGTGCTTCCTTCATTGAAAGTTGTGCAGAGATTAATATATCTCTTGATATCAATGGTGGGTTGATTCATGATATCTTTCAATCGTGAAGTTATTTCAAGTTGGTGGTAGTGGAGTTTTTATGATTCTATCCACAAATGGATATCGATAGTGGCCATCGACCCTTGAAGATAAATAGATGGAGGTATACATTCCTATTTTAGGATTATTGTCAACTTGAAAAGTTTTGGACATTATTAGGCAAGGGTGTGTTGGGACTAACTAGGGGTTTCTTTCTCCCACAAACTATCTTTCGAACTTCATTGAGAATTTCCACCTTACTTACCTTCTGACAAATAAAGGTGTTCTCTCATTTAAGTATATTTCTTTCATTTCCCATTTCTTGTCTTTCTTAATTTAACTAGAAAGATTACTCATGAACATGATCCATGTTCCTCATTATTACTAAATAGTCTTTAAAGAGTGTTATTCAATCCTATAATAGATATAAAATGTTCTTACAAGATCGAATATCTCTTACAATATCGAATAACCCTTATAAAACTTTTCTCGTATTGTCACCTGTTTATAGTAATTTTTAATGGATCTATACCTTATGAACCTTTAGCAATTATCCATGAGGGTCTCATGTTAATCCAATTCAGGTAATTAGACTAATTATTGGTCCAAACAATGGTGGTAAATACTGTTTTAGGTTGCTTGGAAAGGTGTTGGACTGCCGAGACATTCTCAGCATGCCTATAGTACACAAAGTGAAATTAATCATTACAAAGCTATAAACATATTACTAACAAGGGGGAGACAAAGTGAATAAGACAAAGACTACAAACAGGCATTCAGTTTATCATTCCCAAAAATAAAAATTTGAATATAACAACATGGATACGTGCACACTGACCAGCTAAAATTACATACAATGTCAGCATTGTGCATAAAAATCCCACTTCATTTCCCGCAGCAAAATTGTGTCTAAGTCGAAGGGGAAACGATTCTACAATTAGCAACTACAGTAAATGCATTCGCTCCACATAAGAGTGGTGCAACCATTGACTAAGAGGCTCCCCACATCCTATAAAACAGCCTGAATTGCCATTTTCTGTGAAAAATGGGAAACTGAACTGATGAAGCAGTTCATGCACTGTCTGTCTCACAAGAGAAGAACCTGTCACCCTACTCCTTCGACCCCATCCAGTAATGATATCTATCCGGTTAGGGCTAACCCCAGATGTCAGCATTTGTTGGCGAAACCAAGCAAGTGTCCTAGACAGTGCTGTCACAGCAGTTCCATCAGACATGACATGAAGATTTATTAGCCAATAACAAGAGCTTTTCTCCTTGACAGCATCAGGATAGACGTTTTTTTGAGCAGCTACCTCCCAAACTGAACCAGCCTCCTCCTTGAGCCCAGATTTGTGAAGAAAGTCCACCACTGCATCTACAAGCCCTCTTTTGCCTTCTCTATCCTCAGAATGCATAAGGTCTAAGAATCTGCTCACATGATCCCGCACGTTTTGACCGTCAGGTCCTGCTGCTGGCATGGACTGCAAAAATGCATGTGCTGGATGGCCAGTAACTGCCATAAGCTCACGACAGAAACACATATCATAGGACGATTGTGCCTCTGTACAACAACTGAGAAGCAAAGTGTAAGTCTGCAAAGAGGGGTTTAAGCCAAGAGCCACCATGTTTTGGAGAAGATTATATGCATCTGACAATCGATGCACCCTGAGGAATGCACTGAGAAGTGAATTGCAAGTTGGTACATTTGGGAGCAAACCTGCTCTCAGCATTGCCTGGTACCATTCCCAAGCCTTCTCAACATTACCAGCCTTTCCCCACAGGTCTACCAGAAGACCATACACAGGTTCATCTGGAACCCAATTGTTCTGTTTCATCTCCATGAAAACTGCTTCTGATTCCTCAAGATACCCACAGTGACCAAGTACCTCCATTACAATGCTGTAAGTAACTTTGTCAGGTTTAAATCCTGCATTCTGCATTTCTCGGTATAGTTTCAATGCTGTCTGATAGTTCCTTGCTTTAGCTTGTAAAGCAATCAAGATATTGTATGTGACAATATTAGGAACACAACCCTGATCAATCATTTCACAGAATAGCCTATGCGCAGCAGATAAGTTACCAGATTTTCCAAGGCAGTTGATCATGACACTGTATGTAAATGTGTCAGGAGAAAGGCCAACTTCTTGCATTCTTTCATACATAGACATAGCCACATCAAGAAACCCAGCTTTTGCATGGATATCTATGAGTGTGCAGTAAGTAACACGATCCGGCTCACATCCCATCTCTTGCATTTGGCTGAACACATTCAGCGCCTCCCTTAGGTAGTTTGCACGGCCATAACTGTGAATTAGTCGATTGTATGTAACAACATTAGGCTGGCATCCATCCTTGACCATCTGCTCTAGCAATTTGTTTATGGCACCAAACTCTCTTGCACGGCCAAGGATACCAACCATGGTGGTGTAAGTATGCCCATCATGCCAGAAGCCTGGTTGTAGCTTTAGCCAGTAAAAGAAGCTTAGAGCAACAGAATGGTCTTGAAGTTGCTTTAGGATCTGGTTAGCTTGGAATGCATCAATTGAAACATTCAGGTTATAAAGGGCCTTCTCCGTAGCAGGACCCCACTTTAACTGTTTCAGTATATCTTTAACCACATCCACAACATGCCCTGAATTAATAAAATGCCTGTTGGATGAAGCAATTCCTGCTGGCATATTCACATTCCTTGTGTATTTACTGAAACTTTCCTTGAATGGCCCCACCATCTGCGGATTTGAGCTTTGCGCATTGGAACCAAAACTTGTCACAAAGCGGTTTGGTTGAGTTCTTGTTCTCTGTGGCAAGGCTCTTCGATCATGGTTATTTACAGGAATATTTGCAGCTGCCCCTGACTTCTCTATCCCAGAAGAAGCAACATGCTTAAAGCCTTTAGCTAAATTAGATTTATCTCCTTTTCCCTTTGCCCCATGATGATTATTTGTATGTTTTGATGGCCCTGGATGAGCAGAAACAGGTGGTTGGGGATGAACAGCAGTAAAGCTCTCCTTTCTAATTTGCTGCACATTGGAAGTTCTAACGTTGGGAAGGGCTCTAGAAGGATCAACCATATGATTTTTAGAGTAGTTTAGTATTCCCATGCCATCTGACAAAGGAAACTTATAATTAACAACATCAGAAATAAAATTAACAGCAGCAATACCGGCCCTATAAAACTGGTCAGCATTAAGAGAAGACGAATATGCAACATGGTCCTGAACACCATCAACAACAGTAGCACATGTTACAGAGTCCGGTTTATTTGGTGCGTACGAAGAAGACCGAATTTGTTGCACACAACCAGATTGACCAACATCCCCAGCCTTGGGAGCAGGCCCATTTGCCAAGCTTCCCGAGACCAGTGTTCCTACTACTTGAGATTTGGTTTTGGTTACTAAGGAGGAAGGTTTCTGAACAAGTAAATCTTCTTTATTTTTACTCTGCTGTCTTCTTGACACACACGTTTCATCCTCGGGGCAAGTGCATGAATTGCCATCACCTGCATTACATCGCGAACCCCCAAGCAAAAAACTCCTAGCATTGCTCGAAAGGGTACTACTGATCTGCTTTGCTCTTAACATATTCTGTGAACAACATTCAACACGTCACAACAAAACCCAAAAGAAAAACGAAAGCAGCAGGTATCACTACGAACTTCCACCACATGGCAGCAAACAAACAAAATACCAACCACAGAAAAATGCAAATGCAGGTACCAAAGAACCACCCTATTATCAATGTTATAATAATAAACAAAGTCGAATAAAAAAAAATCAAATACCATCGTCAAAACAGACAATTTCACAGAAGAAATCGTCGGGAGGCAATTCCATTTCAGCCAGAAAGACACGAAACGCGAGCAAAGATAAACCTACTGGTTAAAATTTTAAATCAATTGAAAGATAAAACCTGTGACATGGAAAACCCAAAACATGAAACGTGCGATGGTTCCGAAAGAAGAAAGATTATAGGCAATGGTACATGAGAAGTAATAATGAAATTTGTGAGGCGCAGAGGGAGTGAAGTGAGGTACCTGCATCGTTGAATGCTATGGAAGCATGGAAGGGTTGAGAAGCTGAAGGGAGGGGTGGCGGCTGGTCTGTTCGTGTTGTGTGTGGTGTTGAAGAGTAGACTTTTCCAAACTACTTGGGGCAGAAGCTAATGGGTCTATGATGAGGTGTGCCCTGATCTCACGCACCCGACCCTGTTCAACCGGTGCGACCCACCCGCTCCATTATAAATTTTAGTCAAAATTGGACTTTTATACCTCCCTCGTGCCTTAACATCAATTGGTAAAACAGGGTTAACTCCGTGGATAGTCTCAGTCTAAAAAAATTAGGGTGAGTTGATAGATTTAACTAATTAACTTATTTGATTTATCTACTTTCACTAATCATATTAAAATTAAAATAAAAATTATAATTTTAAATATTATATTTTTAAAATATATAAATATATTGTAATATTATAATTGAAATTATAAATAATAATTAATTAAATTTAAATTATTATTTATAATTAAATATTTTAATATATAAATATAATAATTTATTTAATTTATCTAACAAAAATATTAATTAATAAAAAAAACTTAAAAAATATTTACATGTATAATTTTTAAAAATAACATATAAAATAATTTTGTATAAAAAAATATTTACGAACTAATTTAATAGTTTATCAGCTCCTTTCTTATAAGATGATGTGTGATTTATTATTTGTAATATGTTTTAATTAAAAGAAAATTAAAAAGAAGAAGAGAGAGGAATTTTGGTTTCCCTTCTCCTTCGTGAAAATAAATCCCCTCTTCGTAGCTCAACTTTGTCTTCTCTCCTATAGATCAGGATCTTCTTCTTCCCCGATCAAAAATCCGAGGTCGCCGTTGTGCTCACGGCGGAGAACAGCAAAAGACCCACCGATTAGAATTTCATTTCGGTAAGTTTGAATTTTTAGGGTTTTTATAAGTTAAAATTTGGGATTTTGAGAATTTAAGGAATTATTTGTGGAATTAAAGGTTTCCTCTTACTCTGTCACTCCCCAATTTCATGTTCTCGGGTTTAATTTTGTTTATTAGTTCAATTTCGTTTCTAGGGTTTTTCAAATTGGGGGAGAACGGTACCTCTTAGGTGTTTTGGCGTTTCTAAGACTTTATTGGAATTAGGTTGACGTGTAACATCACCCACAGGTATGGGAGACTTTTTTATTTTTACTGGCTGTATTGTATTGATGAAAAGTTAAATAAAGTGAATGATGAGTATGTTTGTGATATATATACGTGTTGTAGGTGGTATGATATTGTGAGCACTTATGGAAACCTTGCAGTGTAAACTGTTTTGAAATAGATTGGCTGAAATAGATATCTTTGTATCATTAAATTTCTAAATTGTATGGTCGGTTTGTGTAGTTTGAAGGAGAAAGGATGTACCGTTTTAAGTAAATTATGATTGCATAGTAGTTGTGAATTTTAAATGTTGGACTGGACATTGTGAACTGCATGATGTTGGTTTGATTCTAGAAACCCTGAGTAGAATAATGTGTATGAAGTAGTTGTTGAATGATGGATTTGATGTACTATGTAGAATAATGTGTATGGAATTATGGATAAACGTAATATGGTATCTAAACTTCCAAGATGTTCCTAGTCATATAGACGAAGACACAACATAGCGTCAATCCTATGCATGTGTATGAGAGGTTGAAAAAAAAATGATATTATAGGCCTGGGGCCATGAAATTTTAAGAGTCTGAGACCCCAAATATTCCTCATCAGGTGTTTACCTTACTGGTATGAATTCCATATAGTTTTCCAGAAAGCGTCAGTCTTGTTGTGCGTTGTGATTGTAAAATGCTAGACTCTCCGGTGAGTCTAGTTTTAGGATGTTTGTGAATGAATAAGCGTCGTTTGCAATGTTACACTATTCTACATGTTTAATCAAATGGTAGCTTACCCTTGCTTTTGTTGTGTGCTTGATCTTTTGGGATCCTGTTATGATCGTGTAATACACGTGAGCAGATTCCAAATCTTCTGCAGGTGGTAGTTGTAACGACCCTAAAAATCGCTACTATAATGATGTCTTCGCAAAGTAGTAAACAAGTAAATAACAACATCTATTTTACATTATATTACTGTAATTGTAACATAGATTGAAATTTCGGTTCACTAACGGAACTTCAAAAATATAGTAACATAATTTATTTATATATTATACATGTAAAAGTAGCTCCCTCGAAGCTATCCCACTGAACTATCCCTGCTGTCTGTGTCTGGTAGTCACATCTCCATCTCTCAACTCCTGATCTACTCTCACATAAAAGTGATCATCACAGTCTCATCCACATGGAAAAATAGGGGTAAGTATTAAATCATTCGATATAATAAAACGAGATATAGAAGTAATAATTAGGGATGGCAAAACGGGCCGAGCCATCCCCATTTTGGCCCGCCAGCCTTTGGCCCGCCAAAGCGGACGGCGGGCTGGCCCAGCCATAATTTAGAAAAAATAATTTTTTTTAAAATAATTTTTTTAATAAATTTAATAATAAGATTATTATTTGTTTGTCAATAATTCAATATATATATATATATATATATATTATTTCAATTTAATAATATAAATCAATACATTATTTTAAGAAATTATAATTTAGAACAATAATAAAATTTAGATAATAATAAATAATAACAAATATATATATATATATATATATATATATAAATAACGTTAAACTTATAAATTTTATATTTTTTATATTGAAAAATTCAAATACCTATATCTTTTTTATTTGATAAAACTTCATATTATTTTTGGTTGAGTAATTCTTATACCTTTAATTCAAGTAATAAGGATAAATATAATCAGTGCTTAGGATAAATAAGGAGAAACATTATTCATCTTATAAATTATAATAATTAGTCTGTACATCTTTTTTTTTTTAATTAAAGAGAAACAAACCAAAACAAATAATATTATATTTATTTTTAAGCTTCAAACTGCACCTACTTTTTATATATTATTTATCATAAAATATATTAAAAAAATTCTAACCTTTTAAATAAATATTTATTTTTCATATATTTTTCATATATTTTTAATAAATATTTTTTATATTATCTTAACAAGGTGATACTAATTTTTTTATAACAGTATAAATTGTTTTATAATATATAAAAAATTATGTTTTTGAATAATTTTTTAACTATGAAATAGTTTATTGAAATTATGAACTTATTTTTAAATTTACCTATAATTTTAATAGTAATATAAATTAAAATAAAAAATTACAATAGTTAACCTAAACGAATAAATATCTATTTTAAAATTAAAGTGTGTTTATATTTTTACCTGTAGTGATATCTCCTCTTCTAATGATGAGAAACTAGTTGTATTTGTAATATTATGATTAGTAAAATATTTAATTTTTATTTTTTATTGTTAATAAAAATTATTTTAATTTAGTAAATATGTTATTTCTAAACAAAATAAGAGAGATGGTGTCATTTTATTAAAAACATTAGAAATATAAATAGTATTCATTAAAATATAAGAAAAATATATTTATATAAAAATTAAAGATAGTATAAGTATCATTTTATTTAAATCATTAAAAAAATGTTTAATTAAAGATATGTTATGTGTGTTTTAACTTTATCTTAGAGGAGATTAATGTAGTTTTTCCTAAATTTTATATATTAATTTTATCTTACGATTTTAGAAAATATTTATTACAAAGTTTGTAATGTATATTAATATATTTTTTAATCACCCAAATAATAAAATATATTAAAAATGAAAGTAAAGAATTATTTATTAATTATATAGAGAGAAAATAATAATAAATTAAGATACTAATTGTCTTCCTATAAATGTTTCAATAATAGAAAAACTTTCATATACATCACTATCCTCTATCCTTTATCAAGAGCATTTATAATCACAAAAAATCTTAACGTTACACCTAATCAATCTCTACTAAGAATTCCCAATATTTATTATTAAAACTTGGTCATTTATTTAATTTCTTTTATTATTATTATTATTATTATTTAACCTTCAAATTCTTAAAATCTATTTACTACAAAAGAATCCATTTTATATAACATACAACATTAATTTAATTAATAAATAGACAATCCATCGTTATAACATCTTAAACTATAATTAAAATAATTAAACTGACATAATTCAAATTTATTCTCTAAAACATAATTAATTTATAATGGATTGATTTTCAATATACCTACTCCTCACCAAACTACCTTATACATTGTGTGACTGTTGCAACATTTCATTCATCAAATTTGCGTTCATAATATTAATATTATTTCATACTATTTAACTAGTAACTTATTTAGTCAAAATCAATTGGGATTCGGTGGAAATGGAACCATCACGAGACAATAACCAACGCTATCCTTAAAGATTTCTTTTCATTTATGTTTTGGAAGAAGTGTTTCTTGCCACCCACCCTCATGATGGACACAACGAACACGTAACCTATTTATTAGTCTTTAAACGAGTGGAGAAACATGTATGATTTGATTAATAAACATAATTATTTGTTTCACATAATTTAATATGTT